TCATCCCGCCTGACCTGTCAGAGTGAGACCACCTTATGCAGATATAGCTGAGAAATCCCAATTATAAATCACCAAATCTCTTCTTCAAGAGTCATATCTTGCAATTACAGGGCAATGCATATCTGTCCCACTACAGCAATGGAAAACGCATTCGACCTTCCACCCTTAAGTTTACCCTTATATAAAAAATGTTGGTTTTGAGAGTGACAACCGACGCCAGAAGTATATGTAAACAAAGCAACATCTAAGGAGGAACCATCACAAAATTCTGGAGAGGAGATTAAAAACAATGAGATGGTTATAATGGTGCTCGACAAAATGAGAGAAAAGTTATCTTGACAAATTCGTCTACGTAAAAATAAATAATAGAGACCTTTAGAAGAAGGTTGCCCGAGGTTTCAGGAAGGGGCCCTAATGCGGTACACAGATAGAAAGAAAGATGGTACAGGGGAAAGAAAGAAAAACTATAAAAGGTGCTTAGATTTACACTCTCGTAGATTAAAAACACTAAACACTATGCTTTCAACTCCGAACATATCTGGGAATGTCTAAACTGCTCTCGGAAAGCAAAACCTTAAAGTGGGTTCCTGGACATGAAGACATAGAAGGATATAAACAGGCTGATCAACTAGCCGAAAATGGGGCAACCCTTCTCACCCGTGGGACCGGAACCTCAACTAGGTGCACCGGAATGAGTGGTTAAGTTGGAACTGGCAAAATGGCTTGAGAAAGAAAAACTCAAGCAATGGACGAAAACACCAGGTACGAGGCAACCTACGAAATTTATAAATCTCTCCAAATGGAACATAAGAAAACTAGTCTCTCTCTCTCGCTCTCTCTCTCTCTCTCTCTCTCTCTCTCTCTCTCTCTCAGGCAGGATTTCGGAAAAATTATAGTCCTATTAAAGGCCATTGCTCTCTTAACAACCACCTAAAGAAGATGGGCATAGCACAGATAGAAAGAAACATGGCGACTCCGTCAGGAGGAACCAGAGACATCGGCCCATATCCTTTGTGAATGTGAAGCCTCAGCCCGGTTAATTCTCATACCAAAGAGGAAAAGGCACCGAAGAAAGTGCTTATAGGAAAAATTGTACTTTCGAGGTACGGCTATAATTTATAGGGCTTCCACAATAGATCTATTTAGGTAGAAGTGGAGGTAAGAATTTTTATATTTCTTAATCAACCCCAACGTAATTTTTAAATTAATTCTATTTCGTGGTCCGATTGACCAAATAACATCTTTCAATTAATTAATCTTTACGTAAGGTATTGGTTGAGATAAAAAAGTCAGTGTCACGAGCGAGATTCGAATCCACGACCTTAGGCTAAATACGCCCCTGCTCTACCACTTGAGCCATCGTGACTTCGATCCACTTGGACACTAACTTCCCACCTCAACCTACCTTTCGAATTTTCCCTCCTTTTTGCCATTTTTCAATGTCGTTCAAATGTCGTGTAATCTATTTGATTCTTGGCTACAAATGAAATGGCCACGGAAAGCTTTAGTGAAGACATACTTAATTTATAACTTATTAAATTCATTAGTGTTCGTGGTCCGCTTGACCAATTAATGTCTTTCAATTAATTAAGGTTTTAGTTGAGATAAAGTCGAAGTCACGACATTTCAAGTGGTAGAGTAGCGCCGTATCTAGCCGAAGGTTGTGGGTTCGAATCCCGTTAATGACGCTGACTTTTTTATCTCAACTAAAAACCTTAATTAAAAGAAAGATATTAATTGGTCAAACGGACCACGAAAACTAGTGATTTTAATATTTACAATTAACAATGTTTTCCAAAAATATCTGTACCGTCTTTACAAAGTTTATAATTATCGACCGCATCTCACGATATCTGAATAACTATCGATTAACGGTCACTAATCTCTACACGTTTATAATTATGTTAAAAAAATTATTATATCGTTTTGTACTTCCCATCTCAACCAACCTTTTGAATTTCCCCTCCTTTTTACCATTTTTCAAATATCGTGTAATCTATTTGATTCTTGACTTTTGTTATCTCAACCAATATCTTACATAAAGATTAATTAATTGAAAGATGTTACTTGGTCAATCGGACCACGAAATCTAATGAATTTAATAAGTTAAATGATGTCTCTCTTCACCAAATTTCTCCGTGGCCATTTAGTTTGTCGCCGAGAATCAAATAGATTACACGACATTTGAACGACATTGAAAAATGGCAAAAAGGATGGAAAATTCGAAAGGTTGGTTGAGATGGGGAGTTGGTGTCCGAGTGGATCGAAGTCACGATAGGTCAAGAGGTAGAGCAGGCGTATTCAGCCGAAGGTCGTGGGTTCGAATCCCGCTCGTGACACTGACTTTTTTATCTCAATCAATCCTTACATCAAGAGTAATTTTTGAAAATTCGTGAAATGGACGTCATTTTTCTAGAATCTTGGAAAAAAAAAGTCGATGTTTATATTTAATTATTTTGCTTAAGAAATTTTTTTTCAAAAGTTAATAAAAATAATAACCGTAACTCTTGCATAATCTGATCTCGATGTTCTGGATTTAATTGTATAATTAAAGCCCAAGTTTAAATTTACCTGCCAGGAATTGGATGTTATTTGCTACACCCTTTCTGGGCCGACAAACAATTCTCGGCCCAATTCTTGCGAAAGAGGGTTGAAAAATGTTTACGAACAGGTGGGGGATGGAAATAGTTATATGAAAGCCACCCGTTTCTAAACGAAGTTTAGTCTTGGCAGAAAGGGTACGTCGTGTCACAGCAACAACTCACCGCTTATTTTACCGTGGTCAGGTTTGATTCTATTTAGTGTCTTTTATAGAAAGCAAGGCTTATTATTATAGTTTTTAACCATAAAATTTAACATCTGTTTAACAAAGGTGATATATATATAAAAACAACTACATCCAGTTCAAGGCAGTGAAGCATCAAATTTTACGATAAATAAACTTTTGCCACATGTTCTGTAAATTTACAAAAGCCAAGTACTTCCGGCTGGTTTTTATTATCATTTTATCTAAGATTATTTTCGGCATGCTTTTACGAACAAGTTTGTGTTTTTCATACTCTTTGAAACTGTTCTTTTACAGATTTACATCGGAATGTGTGTTGTTATGGTTTTAATATAGTTTGTCGCTTGTAAAACAAACTTTGGCCGGTTTTATAATATAGAAATTAAATTGGCGAAGGTGTAAAAGGAGGGAATTCTGATGTTAGCATGACCGTTACTGACTTTGATCCCCAACGGCTATTAAATCACGCTTAGCCTTTCACCGCAAGTTCAATGTGCAACGACGATTGTCATATCTTGTTAGATTAGACTAATTTAAAGATTTTTTATATAGCAATTAATCTGTTTTTCATTGTAGGACAATATTTTTTAAATAAATTTTTAAGATATCAGTTTAAAAAAAAATATTGTTGCTGGGTTTAACCTTATGTTAAAATTAGTCATAATATTATATAAGAATTTAACGAAAATGAATTTTGAACTTGTAAATGTTTTTGTTCAATAATACAAAAGTCCATTTGCCATTTATACCAGATTCCAACCTCTACTGAATTTCGTAAAGCAAATGGTGTTTAGGATAAAAACGAAAAGTTAAATTCCAGCCAAAATCTAATTTTTTTATGGAACTATTCAAAAATCAAAATAATTTCTCAATTAAAATTGACAAGACAATAATAGACAATAGTCGTTTTGAGGATCCCAAAGAGTTTATTTCACCAGGTCCATCAAGTATTACTTTTGTACTCATAATTATTTGAAGATCGTGAGATGCTTTCTGGTGTGACGTAGGTTTTAGAAAAACATTTTCTTTATCGTGCCAACGTTTCGATCTTTATTGAGATCATCTTCAGCGCCTTGTGTTGTCTGCATTTCTATCAACCAGAGAACTTTTTTGCTGAAACGCAGACAACACAAGGCCCTGAAGATGATCTCAATAAAGATCGAAACGTTGGCACGATAAAGAAAATGTTTTTCTGAAACCTACATCACACCAGACCGCATCTCACGATTTCTGAATAATCATCGACTAACGGTCACTAATCACACATTTTTACTTTTTAAGTTATTGTAAGTTTATTTTTATCAATTATCAATAGTTTAATGTAACATAATAAATTTATTGTTTATATTAAAATTAGAACGTTCTTATAATCAACTTGACCGACGGATATTATATTCTTGTCAAAATGTATATATTATGATTATTGTGCATATGTTTAAAAAAAAAACATAGTTACTATTATTATGAATTTTTAAGGGCGTTTTAACGGCTAAGGTCATTTCACACCGTAACATTTAAACCTTTTATGTTAGTTCGTGGGAAAATTCAAAAAGGTGTGGTTGAGATGGAAAGTTGGTGTCCGAGTGGATCGAAGTCACGTTTCGATCTTCACTGAGATCATCTTCAGCGCCTGGGATTTATAGACGTTGTTTAAATTTTACAAATACATGTAGGAAAAAAAATGAATTTGTGCAATGCTAGAAAATTTTGTATTCAATCAAAGTATTTGTACTCACTTAGAGTGTTTGTTTTCTGCGTAATTGTGTCATTCTTGTGTGTCGTACACGATATCTCACTGGCACTCTCAACACGACGCACAAGAATGACACAATTACGCAGAAAACAAACACTTTGAGTGAGTACAAATACTTTGATTGAATACAAAACATTCTAGCGTTGTATAAATTCCTTTTTATCCAGCCCTTCAGGACCTGAAGATGATCTCAATAAAGATAGAAACGTTGGCACGATAAAGAAAGTGTTTTTCTAAAACCTACGTCACACCAGACCGCATCTCACGATCTTTAAATAATCCTAAACTAACGGACACTAAACACCACACATTCATAGTAGGCGTCACTTTACTGTAAGTATTCTCGATGGTAGTTTTTGAACCATTTGAATATGTAACAAGGTATATTCGTCCGAATAAAACCGAAAGGGACTGAATGACTGAAACGACCGAGCCGTTGTTCAAAAACTGTTTTGATTTTAGATGGCACCAACCGTTACGGATGATGGTGAAGCGGTGGACGATAGGTTTTTCGGCGAAGGTCCGCCTGATTTTCCTCATGACGACTGTAAATTACTGCGCTCTAGAATGAGGAAAGAAGAAGATCCAACGTCGCCAGACCACTTTCGTGAAACCGAAAATAACCTGTTCGAAGAGAAGCTGAAGTTGAAAAAGCCGAGGTTTATCTGGAGGAATGCCATCGTACTGCTCGTACTTCACGTCCTCGCCGTTTACAACTTCTTCAACTACATAACCAAAATCAAACTTTTGACTTTTGGATTCAGTACGTGTGTGCTAGTCTTGCCAGTAAATACATAATAAACTATTTTTTGTCATTTTTTTTAGCTTTATTGTGCACTGTGATGGCCGGTCTAGGTGTCACCGCAGGAGCCCACAGGCTTTACACGCACAGAGCTTACAAAGCGAAACCTCCGCTCGAAGTTATTCTTCTAATTTTTTACTCGATGGCAGGCATGGTGAGTTATCATTTTTAAATCCTTAAAAATTTGTCAAATTAAAATTAAATTTGTAATTTTTAAAATTAAATTAATAAAAATATTGTTCGGATGGAACGTTTGCTAATTATTGCAATCATTTCCTTTTTGATGTTTGTTGATTTCTTATCAGGTCATCGATTACTTGTTTATCGCCTTGAATTTAAATTGGTTTCGCTTTTATCTCAAACCGTTGCAATTTAATTAACATAATTATAATATTATTATGTTACGGATTTGACATTTCCTAGAGATTTTAACTATTGCATTTCAGTTGTGAGATGTATTCATTAAGTTTTAGACAGCGGGGTTATGAACCTGCATTTGGACAGCGTAATTCGGCATTTCGCCATATACAGCGATGGAATTATATTACTTCAAAGTTTAGACTTTCTGACATTCTTTCGAAACTCTTACTATTTGCAATACTTTCACTATTTTGAACGCCGAAGGGCTTAGTCTATTTTGGTAAATAATCTCAGGCATCCACTTCAGCAAGCGACCATCCGCATACTTTCCTTCACCCGCTCCACTATTTCATGGAATAATTTTATTTCCGTATTTCTCTCTTAAGATTTTTTTTTATTTTATTTATTTATTTTACAACTGAGTGCAAAATGCAACAAGAAAAACATTGTTACTTTCAATGATATACATATACACATGCACATACACAACATTTTATGCACATTTACGTGTATGGCTTCATTGATTTGAACAGCCATCGTCCAGTGAAAGTGGCCGTAAATGGCCATTATGCCGTGAAGTCAACAGCGGACCCTGTTGTCGGAAAAGCACAACCAGTTATTTTCTCGAGGTTGCCAGCACTTCGGTCTTCTATGAGGGTTATATATTACGCAGGGGGGGCGACCAAGACCCGAGGGGTTAAATGCCTTGGTAGACTCGTACCCCATCCCTAAAAGGTCCGGGTCGGCTCACGTGTCCTGCATAAACCTCTTCGACTTGTTCACAAACCCCAAGATTTTGGACCATTTTATCTCGAGGAGTGATTTGGTGATGTCCGCTCCTTCAAAGATTTCAAATCTAGACCTAGCTATCATTTTAGATTATTAGACCTACCTATTACACTCTGCGAGGTAGTGCCTTGCCGTTTCTTCTTTTATTTCGCAAAAACGGCAAAAAGGATCTGGTAGAATACCCATTACGGAGAGGTGTCTTCTCAGTGGGCAGTGGCCCGTCAGAATACCTATCAGCCTCCTTCCCTTCCTTGAGATAGAGAATAGCCATTTGAGAATTCTGCTGGTTTGATCACCTTAACAAATTCTTTCGATTGCCTGTGTCCGGGGGATAGATTCCACTCCTTAAGGAATTCTATGAGGGTTGGAAGGAAGGGATGAGATGGACAGGTTGCGAATTAATTGGTTCCCATGAGAGGATAGTTTGGAATCTATTGTAGCGGCGGTGGGCCTGTTTTGGCACGTAGGTTAGATCGGAGAGGATAGCATGATTTGTGACTTAGAATGGAGCATCAAATATTGTACGATGAATTTTGACTGTCCCTTAGAGTTAAGTAATTATGTAGGCTACCAATTACTAATGACTACTAACTTATTGTTAAGCTATGTCAGTTTAGCTCTTTTGTCAAGTGATATCTTCAGTATATTACACCTAAGGTTACTATCGATTAGTTTTAATCTTGTGTGTGTGGGTTCCACGTAGGTCTTTTGTCCAAGTAAAGTGCAAATTATAGTTCATTATCCGCTGGACGAATTGGGGTACGGTATGGGTAGTCCGTAGTAGAGTTTTACGATTAAAAGTGAAAACTATTTAGTTAGCAATTAGTTAAGGTTTTTAGTTGAGATGAAAAAGTCAGTGTAACGAGTGGGATTCGAACCTACGACCTTCGGCTAAATACGCTTGCTCTACCACTTGAGCTTTCGTGACTTCGATCACCTCGGACACCAACCTCCCACCTCAACCTCACCTCTCGAATTTTCCCTCCTTTTTGCCATTTTTCAAATGTCCTGGAATTTATTTGATTCTCGGCGACAAATGAAATGGCCACGGAGAGTTTTCGTGAAGATATACTTCAGTTTAATTATTAAATCCATTACAGTTCGTGGTCCGATTGACCAATTAACATTTTTCAATTAATTAATATTTATGAAAGGTATTGGTTGAAATTAAAAAGTTAGCGTCACGAGCGGGATTCGAACTTACGACCTTTGGCTAAATACGCCGCTGATCTACCACTTGGGCTATCCTCGTTAAAATGGACTTCGTGACACTGACTTTCTTATTTCAACTAAAAACCTTAATTAATTGAAAGATATTGATTGGTCAAGCGGACCACGAAACTAGTGAATCTATTAATTTAGATTATTGATTATTTACCTTGATTCTTTCCTGTCGAAGGCAGGGTTCAAGAACATGATTGTAGGTTGAGGATAGAATTAACAGAAGTGATTTTTGTGGAGAGGATTGCCGTGTGAACCGTAGGTTAAGGTTAAGGTGTAGGAAGGCAATGGAAGATCAGCCGTATGAAAGGAGTAAAGTAAGGGAGCAAGCGTGCTTCCCTGGGGGAGGCTGGCTAAATAGGAAAAATAGACGAGAAAGCTTTGGGGTACTTGGAAGAATCGGTTTATTAGGAAGGATTTGAGGATAACGTAGTAATTGTAAATGGATGTTGCCATTAACTTTCACAACAAACCCTCTTGCAATCCTCAATCAAAGACCGGGAATATAGGAAAACACCAGGGTAGGATTATTTATGCTCGAGGAAGGAGACGATAGTGTTGGTTGGCATCTCACTAAAGATAATATTCGTAATTACAGAATACAATGTACGATTGGGTCCGGGATCACAGGGTTCATCACAAATATTCAGAGACAGACGCGGATCCGCACAACGCCAAAAGAGGGTTCTTTTTCTCCCATTGCGGCTGGCTCACGCAGACGAAGCATCCTGAAGTTCTGAGGAAAGGTGCCCAAATCGACATGTCTGACATTACTAACAACCCTCTCGTCAGTTTCCACCAGAAGTAAGTCTGATGAACACGTTGAAAATTCGAATTTTAAAATTTCTATTCTATTTCAGACATTTCTTGAAGCTGCAGCTGTTATTCTGCTTCATAATTCCGTCCATAATTCCTCCTCTCTTCTGGAACGAAAGCTGGGCATTGGCTTTCTGGGTCAATTCGACTGTTAGGTACTGCATTGTTCTTAATTCGACTTGGCTCGTCAACAGCGCCGCTCACATTTACGGATACAAACCATACGAAGCGTAAGTCTGTTCAAATTCTTGTTTAAAATGGTAAACTCCCCTTAGAGTTCAGTCTCCAGATTGTATGCAATAATCAATGAAAAAAATACCAATTGTAATGAATGAAACTGCCTTTTAACGGAGATAAAAAGAACTTGGACAAAGCTCGTTTAATTCATATTTCGCAAACTGTCTGAAGGATAAATGAACCTTATTTACTGAATTTTGGACTTCGTTATATCATTTTTTTCTTTAAAACCATTAACATTATTAAAATTCCATTACATCCTTACATATGGTAATCGTGCATACCAAGCCGCTAAATGAAATTTCAACAAAATATTCAACATAAAATTAAGCAAATGTTTCAAATTTTAATACTTAACATGAATTCCTTCCAGAAGGAGGCAGTTAGTTTAATTAGTAATTAGTAATTTTCGTACCATTATTTTATTTACTACTAACTACTGTTTTTTTAAAATTTGTAGTTACAACTACCTTCAAGTAGGTGACATGTGACAATGAGCAAGGTAATAATATATACGAACCTTAAAAGCAGGAGTGGAGAAAACACCCATTGGGATACTAAAATGTTGTCTGTTAATTAATACTTGTGTCACTATCACTTTCATTATCATCATCATCATCATCATCATCATCACTTCGTAGGAGATCTCGCGGCCATTGTCTCTTCAGTCGGCGAGGAGGGTTTGAGGTGATTCGTCGGGATGCGAGATTTACGGTAGTTGGGAGGTTTATATGAAATTTGTAGTAACGGGAACGGATTTCTTCTTGATCGAAAGGAATATTTAAGTCTGTATGTGTAGTTGAGTTCGATTCATAAAATGGAGCATCTAGTATTTTTCGTAGTATTAAGGACTGGGCAGTTCAATGCGGTGGATGTTGGAATATTTGGCTGAACCGCACACTTCCCGCCCGTAAATCCATATAGGCTTAATTATGGTGTTGTAAAGTAGCCTTTTACTTTTGACAAGTAAATTAGAACGTTTGTCGCGAAGTCGTGCATGAGCTCTGTATCGTGTCATAACCACCTGACGTTTCAATCGTGTGTGAGGATTGCACGCCAGGCGTTTGTCGATGAACAGTCCGAGGTATCGCACCTTGTCCGCAGTTGGGAGGGGAGTATTATTTAAGTAGATAAGAGGGAAGATCTTTTTACGTAGATTGAAGGTATTATGTTAAATTTTATTATTTTCTTTTCACACCGAGACTCTAGTAGTATGAGGTGTTGTTGGAGGTTTCGGGTGGAAATGACAGGATCGGAGTTGCAAGAGAGAATTGCCAACGGCCCCCGGCTTCTCTTCAAAAGGGTCTTCTCCCCTTATCCTAAGATCCTACCTGGCCGATAGTTATTACCAAGACAAGATGTAGATCTTTCAGGTTCTTTTCTTTTCTTTCTTTACTTCAGAGGCTGCAGTACCGCAAGGAAGCATCTTAGCACCTTTCCAATATGCAGTATACACCGCCGATATCCCTCTAAATTCTAACACATTCCTAACTACATTCGAAGATGGTACAATTATCCGTTTCCCGCATCAAAATCCGACCTCATCTCTCCGCAATATCCAAGCCCATATAAACGATATCCAGCAATGAACCAAAAGTTGGAGAAAATTTTTTTAATCAAAATAAATGTATACAAATAAACTTTACCCACCGCCGAGCAACATTTAACACTCTACATTAACCACATGGAACCGAATGGAGACGTAGTGAAATATCCAGGAATGTTTCTCGATAAAACACTGATATCGAACCCCACACAAGACTGAAAAAAACTGAACAAAGTATACAAACTTCGTATACGTGTGCTAGAAAATCTGATGCAGGTACAAATTTCGCACAAATAAAAGACAGTATAAAAAATCTTTTTACACAAATGAATCTAATCCTTGTTAAAGCAGGCAGTTCTATTATTATAGACAACTTAACAAAAGTCCGTCTCCGCGATGAATCCAATCAATATTAAATTCATACAAGGTCAAGCTGATGCAAGAGGATCTCATGTCTAGCTCAAGAAGTAAAACCCATTGATTTTACGACCACATCCAATCTTCCGGTCAAATTCATAGAATTCCTCCTCCGATCTTATGCTTTTTCTCTCAATTAAGGTGCGCAAATAAGTTTCTAATTAAATTTAGCTTTGGCCAAGTGTTTTATGAGGTCAACCCCAATCTCGAATGGTTGTGTGGTTCTCAAGAGATGGAAGACCTATAATTTTTGTACGTCTATACTATGCAGGGGCAAAGGATCAATATTTTCCCTTACTTTAAATTAAGGTTTTTAGTTGAGATAAAAACCTTAATTAATTGAAAGATATTAATTGGTCAAGCAGACCACAAAAACTAGTGAATTTAATAAGTTAAAATGAAGTATACTTCACTAAAGCTCTCCGTGGCCATTTCATTTGCCGCCGAGAATCAAATAGATTATACGACATTTGAATAATGGCAAAAAGAAGGGAAAATTCAAAAGGTGGAGTTGAGATGGGAAGTTAGTGTCCGAGTGGACGAGGTCACGTTTGCCCAAGTGGTAGAGCAGCGGCTTATCTAGCCGAAGATCGTGGGTTCGAAGCCCGCTCGTGACACTGACTTTTTTATCTCAACTAAAACCCTTAATTAAATAAAAGATATTAATTGGTCAAGCGGTCCACGAAAACTGGTGAACCTGGTATAATGTGGTGGCCAGAACGCAACCCTGAGGAACACCAGCATGAGTAGGGAAATATGTAGAGAGGTCCGTCGATGACTTGGAAAATTCGGTCAGTGAGATAACTGTGCAATATGAGATAGTAGTTGGAAGGATCACCTTGAGCTTGAACAGCAAGCCTGCGTATCAAACTCGAACAAAAGCTTGGCTTATGTCAAAAAAGCCCCAGAACAGAATTTCCCCTTCTATTTTATTAAAAAATGATCGTATTAATTATATAACATTAAATTTATTATTATCATAAATCGCGACTACAGTACTTTATCGTCAACGATAAGATTGCAAAGACATTCAAACTAACGTTACTTCTTGAATTAAAATATTTAAATCTCATGAACTCAACCTTTCCTAATACCTATACATAAGTTGCACTGAAAGTTTATCAATTACTAATAATTCTGCACATACAGATATAAACAGAATCGAGCTTATTGCAAAGATCAATCAAGCCGCGAGAATCACACACCTCGGATTTTGGAGTACTCAATATTCGGCCATCGGCCCTCTCACTCTGTGTATTCGTACTAATAAATACATTCACTCTCAATAAACACAAAAAGTAATCAATTTCCGCCAACGTTAAATCAGAGAAATTACAGTTTTTATTTAAATTCCTTAATTATAATAACAATAAAGTCTTTATTGATTATCATTTTTACAAATAATAACACAAAATAAAAATCTACGTATTCATGGCCTTTTAGAGTTTTTAGGTATAGCTGTTATCTGTGATTACTGATGATTTATAAAAGCTCAAATCTGCAGACACATGTATTATATACACTCGGGTAAGAAGTTTGGCCTGCTACTTTTCGCAGCTCACCGGCAATTCCAACTTTTTTATTTACAATAAATTACCGTGTTGGCAGTCCGGGGTCAAACTTCGATCTTACTCGTACAGCCACGGAGTTTTAGCTCCAGGAGCTACCAACTGCTAGTTCATTTCAGCCCCCAATGCAATCAGTTCCTACATTCACACACTCTTAAATACATTCTTATTTATTTATACACCATGCAATTCCAGATAGGTTGGTGAAGTACGATATTCCTCAGTGGATCTAACTGAGGTTGATAGAGTACACGGCCCTCTCATCTTACATATTCACGCCAATAACTACATTCACTCTCATTTCACGCTACGGGCACAAAACTATCAGCACTATGTACAACAAAATAATCTTTTTAATGCAAAAATTGAAACAGGGGACCCAGATACGCGCTGCCGTGCTCAAACACGACTCTCATACTTTACAAACGCTGTGTAAAGAGCCAAGGAATTGCACCCTTTAATTTGGCAGGACACATCGAGAAATCTTTCTCTGCAAGTCGGACACATAAGCGGCTTTGTCCCAAATCCTGTGCGTCAACCTCGCATGGCTTATCTGGTGAGGTTGACCCTTTCTCTATGTATCAAGTCCTCCGTTGGCCACGGATAGTGCTCTTGATACGCGAGGGCTTCTCTGCGGATCCATCCTACCGATGCTGCCATTTTCCTGTTCTCAATACGTTTTATATTATGCAAAAATTATAATATTTTTAATTTAACGAGATTAAACTAACTTAAGACAATAGAGACAACTGTCATATGACCACGCATGTTTACAGTAATGTACTAATGCAATTTTTGCCATTTAGCTATTCTAAACCTTAACTCTATCTCATAATTTTGCTATCTGCTAGTGCAGTATAAAAAATTATTTAATATTAGGCACAAGGCAACGAAATGAAACATGTCCTTCTCTCGTTCTCAGGAGAACAGTCAAATTCATTTTGATAATCCCTACATCAAAAGTTAGTTTCAAGAAATGGGTGACGATTCGAGCTACATGCGGCAGAGCATTAACACGCATTAACAGGAAGTTGCCCCTAATAAATGGAGCGAATGGGACTACACCTTCCAGAAGAACTTCATCAATGTACCTAGTTGCAGACATAGATCCATTATGCATGATAATCAGTTTGATACGGGCAAGGACGTTGATTCCATTCAATACCATAACTGACTGTCTTTGTAAAGGCTGTGACTCACGCATGGCACATGAAGCACGTCTTCTCAATACAAGGTCCCGGTCATGTTTTTTTCACAAATCAACCGGCACTTATCTGTGAAGAAAACAGCTCCCCTCCCCCATTGTTCAAGTGTCCTGATGCGGGACGTCTAGAGACTAGGCTATTCTCACGAAACCTTCTGATGACTATTTTAGAGCTCACCTTAAAATTCTGGGCTGTTCAGAGTTGACGACCTATCGTAGTGCGGTACGAGCAGTAAAACGATCTTCTCTAGCCGTCTTACATCGCAGTCGATCACTTACTTCGATCATGAATTCCAGTGGCCCTAAACCTCAGTAGAACATATTAGATGGTAGAGCGTGGTAGGACTTGGGCTATGTAGCGAACGTATGTCATCATCTTTTGTGGCAAGATACTAGGCCAAAGTAGGTTTCGGAACCTAGGGAGTCCATGTTGGCTCCCTCTTTGGTCAACAGGTCAACCTTTTTGTTGCCTCTATGCTTCGGATGTCCGGAACCAATGCCAGAACTAGGTCATTGGTGTCGCTGATTTCCGCCAGGGCCTTCATGCAATTCCAAACACTCTTTGCCTTTACTTCGCATGAGGCTAGGGTCTTTAGTGCTGCCTGACTGTCCTAGAAGATGACTATCTAGCCTTTTTATTTCTCTGGCGCAGTATTCAATCGCTATGATTTCAGGCTGGAAAACTTAGCATATTTCTTTGTTGAGAGCCAGTTTAGTCTTTGGATTCATCCTGAAGACTCCAGCCCCGTGCCCTTGCCAGTTTTGAAGCCGCAGTGCAGTTAGCGGTGTTCCTTTATCCTATGCTTCTCATTCTGATATCCCTTGTACTTTTTAGTAGAGTTGTATTTTGGAATAGTGGCATCGATTGGCATACCTAATTTTACATCTGCTTTATCTCCTTACTCAACTTTCATTGTTTATTCATGGCCTATCTTTGGAGATGGTTGCCCATTTTGAGCCTGTGGACTGCTCCTCTGACTTCTTTTTGGAGTAAAATATGAAGTGGTGAGAGGTTCAACAACACCTCCAAGGCAGCTGTTGGCGTTGTGCTCGTGGTTCTAGTGACATTGAGACAAGCTTGACTTTGGGTGTCTCTTAATAGCCTAATTCCTTTGCCCTGCAGAGTTTTGGTCCACCACACCACCGACCCATAGGGCCCTTCTGGGATTTAATCGCGAGTTTTTGGGTATAATATGGTAACCTAAATTATTTCATATTTAGGATAGACTGCATTGTCAGTATGTTGAGTCAATTAACTGCGATAATTTTATGACCTGAGTGAATAGATTTAGCCTGATCGCATTGAAATCATGTTACCCCTATCACGTTAACAATTACAGAGTTAGTATTTTCGGTTAATTGTTTCATCCAGGTGGCCTATTCGTTCCCCTTGACAGAATGGTGCCGTTTAATGTCAAGAATAACTCACTAACAGTATTATGAAAATGTTTGTTCATATGCAAGGTGAACCTTGTTTAAACAAATGTTTTCGCAATCCGGACGTTAGTCACACGTCAGCACGTTTACGGCTGGTACTCGATTGATTTTTTTATTTCTTTGCAGCAACATCAGCCCGACGCAAAATTGGCTGGTCGCTTTCTTCGCGATGGGCGAGGGATGGCACAATTACCACCACGTCTTCCCATGGGACTATAAAGCGGACGAGTTCGGACCCCACGCCCTCAACTTCACCACCTTCGTTATCGACTGCTTTGCCAAAATCGGCTGGGCTTACGACCTGAAACAGCCTTCGAAAGAACTCGTGTGGAGGACTGCGGTAAATCGCGGAGACGGTTCACACCACTCTCTCAAAAAGAACAGCTAAAAACCCTGAGAATGAGCTTTTATCAATTGAAGAAATCGATTGTGATTAATTGATTTGTATGATGTTTTAAAGCGGTCCAAAAAGATCAGGTAAAAAGCAATTTTTGATTTGCATTGTGCTATCAAAATTGTAGACGCTTAACTGTCACCACCTTCCTTTTGCGTTTCATGCACTTTCGTTAAATTATTTTAAATTGTTATGATATATTTTTATTCGTGTTCCTTTTTAATTAAAAAAATAATGCCAAATGTCTATAACGATTAAGGTATAATTTAAAAAATAATTAAAAATTTGAATCCGTTTCAATTACTTAACGAGCAAGGGTGTATGCATTTATTATGTAATTTCTCTATTTGTATATTTTTTAATTATTTTTGTACGTCATAAATATATTTATTTGTATGAACAAGCGGGATTGAATAAATACTTTTATGCTGTATATTAAAATTAATGGAAATCCTTTTTTCTTTTCCCACAATTTACAGACCTTTTGTTGCTATCATGGAATATCAAACTTTAAGAAAAGAGTGTACGAAAGGTTAAATAATCGAAAGCTGTAAGCTAACAAGTAAGTTCTCAACTTGTAGTAATCATTTTAAAAATTATTTTAGAATCATAGAAAAAGCATATACGATTAGAGTTAGACTTTAACATGAATTATTTTCTTGTAATATATTTTTGCAGCTTGGTCGTGGTCGTTTAAGACGCATTGGTCCGCCTCTCCTCGCTGCTTGGTTTATTGGCCATTAGCCATTAGTGGTAAGATAATGGCAGACTAGAGGGACTATGCAGATGACAGATTTCTAACCCTGCAAATCTCACAAACATTTTGTTTTTAGTATGTCAAGATCGCCGCATAACATTCTTGTGTACCACGTCTTGGATAAATTCGAGCTGATGCTCTTGAATTTTCTTTGAAATTTTCTATTTGTCAGGTTTAAGTTGGTACTACGCCACTGAATTTTGAATTTGAGGTGAAACATAGAAATCATGCATGGTCGAAACATTCAGCAGATGGTGAGTCTATTCTCTTCTCATGATTATTATCAGTAAAACTACGACGTTCCTGCTGATTTCCGAGTGTAAATTTTTTACAAATTTCACAACCTATAAGGCCCATTGAAAATACGCAAAATAATTGCATGTAAGTAGGCTCATTTTGTCCAAACGATAATAATCACTTTTTGGCTATTTGTGTTTGACAAATTCAAAGAAAACCCTTCCAGTGGAACGCTACAAGTCCCAAACCTGTTTGCCAAGAGACTTCGTGAGCAGTAAAAGCATGGACTTTTCTCTTCACTCGCCACTGGATCTCTCTCCGGCTGATTTCACTCTCGATTGAGAGTTTTGAAAAAAAAACATGACCCTACAAAAGGGGTTATCAAAGCTTCATTATTGTTCGTTTTTAAAAATTTTGCTACGTTATTTGTGATGAATAATGACAAACCGGAACCGGGGATGGTGTGATACCAAGTTCGAGGACGACACTTATTAATCGCCACTGTTTTATACCATTGTTAACTTACAAAATGCAAAGGTAACTTCACCAGCACAAAGTATCTGGTACGTATTGTATTTTTCACATTAGATTAAAAGTAAATGAAATTTTTTTCGAAAAAAATTATCGCAAAAAGAAGTCATTGTATTAAGATGAACTTGGTACCTTAAAGTTAGGATGAGAGATTCTCTCAAAAATGCAAAAATAAACTTAAAAAAAAAAACATGAATCTTCATCTGAAAAAATTGTTAAAATGCACAGCATAAGAGCACAACATAAAATCTAAATGCAGATTGTCGCATTGGGTTCTGTGTATACAGCACATAAAAGTTTTGCCTTTTTAAAAAAAAATCAAATTAGTCTTAACCGAAAAATTAAAAGCGTCCTTTTAATAAAATCACACATTGGTTTTTTTACAATCAAGATTTTTCTAGTATCTACGTATGAATATCAAGATTGAGAAAATTTTGCCCCTCATTTGCTCGAAGTATACTTTACCACGTCAGCTAAGTTAGTATACTTAGACGTGGATAAACAAACTTCAATTGAAGATACAGGATTGAAAATGTAAGGCAGCATCATTTTTGATAGCTTTTGTACTGTTCGTCCGTTTGGGGATTAGGCAGCTTGATGATATTGGAAAGTCGGCCGGATTCTTCAAATGTATTCTGAAACTTCCGTCAAGGAGAAGTGTGACCTTAAGCCGTCTAGTGTTGGGGCAGGCTCAAAACTGGATTCTAAAGATCCTGGGAATGGAGGATAGCCGCTATCCCGAAATTTGTTGTCCGCAACCTTCTTAAACCCAGTCCTTCGAATGCTCTGGAAGTATTAATTAATTGCTACGATCCCAAAACCAATAAATCTTCTCATCTAACCTATTTCCTTACTCTCATCTCTATCTAAAGTCTTAGAGAAAATTCTCATTAGACGTAGACCCTTCCTAAACTCCCAAAACATAATATCAAATGAACAATTTTGTTTCCGCTCACACCTCAACACTATTCATCGATTTGTAGACGTCATCTCTTACTGCGTCGAGCGAAGCGAGTATCTGGTGTATTTCTTGGCGTGGCCAATTCTTCGGTCGAGTCTGACGTCCGCGGCTTCTCTTCAAAGGCTCTTCTCCGCTTGACTATCTGATCCTATGATCCTACCTGGCAGACAGGTATTACAAAGACAAGATGTAGATCTTTCCTTTTACTTCAGAGGCTGGAGTACCGCAAGGAAGCATCTTTTCACCTTATATATATATACAAATAACCTTTACCCTCCGCCGAGCAACATTTAACACTCTACATTAAACACATACTTATAGCGAATGGAGACGTAGTAAAATATCCAGGGATGTTTCTCGATAAAACACTGACATCGAACCCCCACACTAGACTGAAGACAGAAAAGAACTTAACAAAGTATACAAACTTCTTATACGTGTGCTAGAAAATCTGATGCAGGTACAGATTTCGCACAAATAAAAGACAGTATAAAAAATCTTTTTACACAAATGAATCTAATCCTTGTTAAGGAGGCAGTTCTATTATTATAGACAACTTAACCAAAATCCTTCTTCAAACCAGTATTAAATTCATACAAGGCCAAGCTGATGGAAGAGAATCTCATGTCTAGCTCAAGAAGTAAAAACCATTGATTTTACGATCCTATCCAGTCTTCCTGTCAAATACATAGAATTCCTCCTCCAATCTTATGCTTTTTCTCTCAATTAAGGTGCGCAAATAAGTTTCTAATTAAATTTAGCTTTGGCCAAGTATTTTATGAGGCCAACCCCAATCTTGAATGGTTGTGTGAATCTCAAGAGATGGAAGACCTACAATTTTTGTACATCCACACTATGCGGGGGCAAAAGGTCGATATTTTCCCTTAGTTAACATTTTCTCCAGTTCCACTGTCCTTTCTATTAATTACGTTCATAGGGATGGTTTGGTCATAGCAATCTCATAGAAATTATGAGAAGTTGATTGTTCTTTCATAAAAACAATTTTTACAACTTTCAATTAAGTAAAGTTTAGTTGATTGAAAAAAGTCAGTGTCACGAGCAGGATTTGAACCCACGACCTTCGGCTAGCTACGCCGCTACTCTACCACTTGAGCACCTTCGATCCACTCAGACACTAACTTCCCATCTCAACCCCGCCTTTTGAATTTTCCCTCCTTTTTGCCATTTTTCAATGTCGTTCAAATGTCGTGTAATCTATTTGATTCTAGGCGACAAATTAAATGGCCACGGAAAGCTTTAATGAAGACATACTTCATTTTAACTTATTAAATTCACTATTTTTCGTGGTCCGCTTGACCAATTAATATCTTTCAATTAATTAAGGATTTAGTTGAGATAAAGTCGAGTCACGACAGCTCAAGTGGTAGAGTAGCGGCATAACTAGCCGAAGGTCGTGGGTTCAAATCCTGCTCGTGACACTGACTTTTTTATCTCAACTAAAAACCTTAATTAATAGAAAGATATTAATTGGTCAAGCGGACCACGAAAACTAGTGAATTTAATATTTACAACTAACAATGTTTTCCAAAAATATCTGTAGCAAGTCTTTACAATGTTTATAATCATGTTTAAAAAATTATTATATCGTTTTGGTACTTCTGGCACAAATATATGTTTATTGGTAATAGAAGTATATCTATGGCTATTTATAACCACTAATTTCCTGGTCCGCTCGACCAATTAATATATTACAATTAATGAAGGTTTTTAGTTGAGATAAAAGTCAATGTCACGATAGCTATGTAGTATACTTCACTAAAGCTCTCCGTGGCCATTTCATTTGTCATCGAGAATCCAATCCGATTACACGACATTTGAAAAATGGCAAAAAGGAGGGAAAACTCATAAGGTGGGGTTGCGATAGGAAGTTGGTGCCCGAGTGGATCGAGGTCACGATAGCTCAAGTGGTAGAGCAACGGCGTATCAAGCCGAAGATCGTGGGTTCGAATCCCGCTCGTGCCATTGACTTTTTTATCTCAACTAAAAACCTTAATTAATTGCTATTTATAACTTCAATAAAAGTTTGTTTCATTGCTCTTGAATATAAATAATAATTTTCGAAGACGAGATTGTTGATTTGATTGTTTATTTTGTTGTTTGATTTGAACAAAAGACGTTTTCATCTCGAATCTCGTGATCAAAAAATAGTAATTTCAGAGTAGAACTGAATTCTAAAATTAAGCATTAATATAAACATATAATGTTTTTTATAATAGATTTTATGTTGATGTTTAAGAACCTTGTGTCCAATTGTAACAAATTATAGTTTCATTGTATTAATGTTAATTTAAGTGTTTTTATATTTATTATGATTTTTACAACAGCGATTTTAGTTTTTGCTAATATGCAAATGAGATAACAGACATAGTGACAATGTTACACATGATAGGAGATGTCAACCAGCAGTGACACTATGTAAATATTTTGATTTTAAGAATTGTTTTAATGTTGAAAAGCATTATACTGCGTTTTCCCCTCCTTTGCTCAGACACAGCTTGTGCCTGCATGCAACAACCTTCAGTATCACTTCCTGACCGGGACCCGTGCTTGTGGACCTTTTTTCCAATTGTCTTGTACGAAAATCGTTGTAGGCCAGGAAGTTGGACTTAAACCAGGTGAGAGCGACTTAAACCCCACACGGAAAATATCCACACAAGTCCGTTTTAAAAAACTAGGCGGTTGTTTACGAGTGTACACGGGATTTTTTGAAATAAAACGATTTGGTAATACGCAATGATCTTTCGGATAATCAAATAAAAAGTTAACGCTTCGTTAAATGAAAATTGTGTTGTTTAACTTTATAAAATTGGACGATTTTGTTATTTACATTCACAACGTTTATTGTGGAACGTTCAACTAATGTTTTTTTTTTTATAAAAAAGCCAAAATTAAAACGTGGCAAACTTTCCTTTTTTGTTGATAACTTCCTATCATAATTTTTGTGCCAAGTTAATTAATTACGAATACTTGGGATCTCGGTATGGTCTGAATAAAAAACAATAAAACTAAACAAAACAAATTCAGATTCTTGTATGCCAAGCTTTCGGCGTATTTTAATGTCAGCATCAGGGCAAAGAACCTTAAAAATATTTACAAATTGACATAATTAAGTTTATCTATTAATAGTCAACCCTTGGCAATGTTGGGACTGAGTCGGTCTCAAAAAAAAAAAAAAAAAAATATGAAACCATTTACTAAAAACTTAATTATGTCAGTTTGTAGACATCTTTTAAATAGTTTTGCCTTCGTAATGTTCTTAAAATAGGTCGAAAGCTTGAAAGTCCGTCTTTAGGATTCTAGAGGAACATACATTATTGTACTCTAAATTGACACATGTAAATTTTATGACTGTAATTTGTGAAAAACTCACTAAATAAAACAAAATTAACACTAATAAATCAAGTTGAAGAAGATCGGAAGGAGGTCAACTGACAACTGTACAATACTTTAGTCCTGCCAAGCTTTCAATGTATTTTACACCATCATCAGGGCCTAAATTTAACAAATTTTTAACAAAATAAATATAAATTTTACAATAATATTACTGTGAAAGTCGTACTTATTCAACTATCTCTTATTTATTATAACTACATGATATGTATATTCTATTTAACATTAATAATTAAGTACATTTAATGTCATCTACAGGACTAAAGGTTAATCCAGAAATGTTTATACAATAAATTAGTTATAAATTTATATATAATTCGTTAGATTTCGTGGTCCGATTGACAAATAACATCTTTCAATTAATGAATCTTTATGTAGGGTATTGGTTGAGATAAAAAAGTCAGTATCACGACCGGGATTCGAACCCACGACGCCGCTGCTCTACCACTTTGAGATTTGAAATGGTCTATTTTATCAAAAGCATGATTAACATCATTACATAATGTTTGGCATACTGGAGAATTGAACAGGTTCTTGAAATAATCCCTCCAATCATCAGGTTTAATGAATCCAAAACATACAGATATTTTTCTTATAAAAGAGTTCACCAGCTCCAAAAATTCCTTGCTATTTCTAAAGTTGTCGATTTTATCTATTTTTCTATTTCTATACTCTACTTTTTTCTTTTTACACACCAAACAAATTCAGATTCTTGTATGCCAAGCTTTCGACCTATTTTAATGTCAGCATCAGGGCAAAGAACCTTAAAAATATTTACAAATTGACATAATTAAGTTTATCTATTAATAGTCAGCCCTTGGAAATGTTGGGACTGAGTCGGAAAAAAAAATTGAAACCATTTACTAAAAACTTAATTATGTCAGTTTGTAGACATTTTTTAGATAGTTTTGCCTTCGTAATGACCTTAAAATAGGTCGAAAGCTTGGAAGAAAAACAATTAAATTCGTTTTTTTATCCAACCTGCCGAGATCCAGATATTCGTGAGAAAAAAATTGCTTGATATGTCTGACACTTTAAACAGTTAATTAATTAATCAATGCCGTTTTGACATCGTCCCTATTCGTGTATTTATTTAAAAAAGTTAAATTGCATTGACCGGAACTTTTAACCTTAGTTCTAAATTGACAGCTCATCCTTAACCAAACCTAGCAATGTAGAGTTTCAATCTTCGTAGAGGTCATTAGACAGGTGAAGAAAGAAGAAGACTAATTATTGAGTTCACTAAGCTTTCGGCAAGGCGGCTATTTTCACCATGTAAAACGTAGTATGCTGGCCATGTGCTTCATAACATTAGACCCAAAACGCTTTTACAATAGTTTTCTGGTGGGCCAATCCCCCCGCAGGTGTCCGTTATGCAGGTTGCTCGATGTGCCCCACATGGTCGAAGCGTGTCGTGCCTTGGCTCCCTTCAGGGCGCGAGTAGGCATGCCGCCAGATTTAAAGAGGGTTCTCGGACACAGCAGCGAGTTTCAGGGTCCCCTATACCGCTTCTTAAGGGAATTGGGAATTTTTTATTGTATATAGAAGTCAAGTTATGTGTTTCTGTGTCATGTATGAGTGAATGTATTTATTGGTATGAATTGGGAGGGGATGATGGCCAAGCAGCTTCTCCATCTCCCCTCATGTCGCGTCAGTGACTTGGGTCTACGGCGGAAAACTTTTAAAGTACCCCATCGACCCCAAATTAGAGTAGTCCATTATAGGGAACAGGTAGATGGAGGAATATCGAGTACTCCATCTATCAAACAGCATTAATGTGATCAATTTATGATGGTGTGAATGTATTTATTGGTGTGAATGGAGAGGGGCTGATCTCGATCTCCCCTCATGTTGCGTCAGTGACTTGGGTCTACGGCGGAAAACTTTTAAAGTACTCAATCGACCCCAAATTAGAGTAGTCTATTATAGGGAACAGGTAGATGTATTTATTGGTGTGATCGTGTGTGTGTATCGAGCGTGTTTGTTGCGATATTTTGCTAGTGGTCGGATGCCCCTGTCAAAAAAAAAAAAAAGTTTTCCATGTTAATCTTTTTCTGCACTCTTGGGAAAGTATGTATATTATTTATTTTAAGTTTTAATAAATAGGCCCTGAGGTTGGCACTATAAGTTGCCGAAAGCTTGGTGAACCAAACAATTCTTCTTCTTCTTTCTTCACCTGTCTAATGACCTGTACGAAGATGAAACTCTACATAGATTAATTGCAGGTCGATCAACAAACATCATATCAAACGTAGCAATTGTTAACTTCGCCTCAGCAACGAAATACATGGCCGTTGTCACATTGTTTGACAGAATTGTCCTTTCTTTCCCAACGGTTCACTTTATAAAAATGCATTTCAATTTAGCCAATTGTACAGCACGCATAAAAGTATGTACGAGTTTTTCTATTATGATCATCATAGTGAATCCTCTTAGGAATGGTCAATGTGTTTAGTTTCCTTTGTTTAACGACGGCATTCGAGTATCGTGCCGGCTATCGTATTCCTCCTTCCATTCGAAGGAAAATGCAATTGACCGTGAAACCGAGATTATCTCTTTCGAGTGGTTATCTTCATTGGTTCGTTATTTGTATTTTTTTAAACCCCCTCAGATTTAGTACGGGACATCCACAGCATTCTGTCCGACCACGAACAGAATCGTTCTCTGTTCAGCTAAAATTGCATCGAATTTGAGCAAAAATTAACATCTCGGCTTTAGTTTTTGTCATTTAGCCAACTCGTAAGTAAGCCTAGTTATAAAGTTTATTTGTCATACAAGTCGGACATGGAACTCGTCGGCAATTCTTTTTTTTACGAGCCGGATTATTACAACGCTTAATAATAATATTAATATTCTGTCCTGGTATAAATATCTTTGGTTATGTTTTTGAATAAAACTCGTTTAATTGAGTTTTGTGTGTTATCCTTAAGAATATCTTTCAATTCATTCATCACCATGGCAATTAAAATTATTTTATTTATTGGGTATTTCTGGCTTTATACGTGTATAAAAGGTACATTATTTTATTCGTTAATTGGGGGAACACAAAAAATACAAACTTAAGGGTATAGAGATTGACTTTTATGGTGATTTGTTGAAATTGCGTCAATTGCTATGTTAAAGTATGATGTTTTATTAAATTTCAAAATTTTGTTTTTCGCCTTTCTTGTAAAACAGAATAATAATATAAATTTAAAACAAATTAATCGATCTTACTTAAAATATGTTTGTCATTCTCGTAAGAAATCCATATAAAAATTGACAGTCGTACATCCTGTATAAATTTTTGTTTAGAAATCGTGAGATGCGGTCTGGTGTGATGTAGGTTTCAGAAAAAAATTTTCTTTATCGTGCCAACATTTCGATCTTTAATGAGATCATCTTCAGAGCCTGGAATTTACAAACATTGTTTACATATAACAATTACATTTTGGATGTGGAAAAGTGAATTTATACAATGCAAAATATATTTTTTTATATATTCAATTCAAGAATGGCACAATTACACAGAAGAGAAACACTTTGAGTGAGTAGAAATACTTTGATTGAATATATAAAAAAATATATTTTGCATTGTATAAATTCACTTTTCCATCCAAAATGTAATTGTTATATGTAAACAATGTTTGTAAATCCCAGGCCCTGAAGATGATCTCAATAAAGATCGAAACGTTGGCACGATAAAGAAAATTTTTTTCTGAAACCTACATCACACCAGACCGCATCTCACGATTTCTGGATAATTATCGATTAACGGTCACTAATCACCACACATCCTGTATAAATTTAAATGTGAAAAAATTAATATTTTGAAATTAAAAAAACAGCTGGAAAACTAAAAAAAATACACAACATACATTATACAACCGATAATTAAACCAACTAAAAACCAAAAACTGTAAGTCTATTTAATAGTTTAATTTATTTAAGAATAAAATAAAGATAAAAACAGACTGGATAATCTTATGTCTTTGGATTTGCTAAAGGATATATACCACAGGCTAATTCTCTTTCAAACGTTGTTGCTATTTTTTTTCTGAAACAGCAACAATCGCGTTGATCAGTATGAGGAGAAAACAAATTTTCATTCATACATTCTTTTATTCGATCGCCTATACGCAATAAAATTCAATAATGATTTACGTACCATTTTCACTGAAAATCACCCTTACAAGTAAGATTCTTTCAATTTAAAAATTACATACTGTACAAAAGTTTTCCAATTTTAAAATCTAAAGACTAAATCTTTTTTAAACTTTTGTGCAATTTGTTTTTGAAACGAAAATAAATGTTAATATCGAACTTAATAGGCCCTCGTACATACGTTTGTCATATTTTATATGTTATGTTAATTATTTTTCAAATGCGCCAACAAGATTTGTTATTAGATTAATTGCATTCGTTATCTATTTAATCATTTATAATAAATATTTGAATTTTTACTTCACATAAAAAATAGTTGTTTATACCATTTCGTTTCAAGACGTACTTACCATTCGGGGACTTAGTTCAACTTTAAGCAAAACCATTCTGCATAACATTTTTGCCTCGTTTTCAGCCAATTACCATCGAATATATTAAACTTAATTAATGCGACAACTGTTACATTATTACAGAGAATTTTTTTTATGCTTTCTTTTTCTAATAGTTTAACTGGAAAATGTTTCAAATCATTGAAACTTCTGTTTGTTTAATATTTGTGTTGCTTTATTAACATTTTCAAGTAATATTTATAATATAAATAGTTATAATTAAGATTTATAAATAATTTAGAAATTTGATCAAACATTGATATAAAAATATGGGAAGGCATTTAGTAACAATAATAATAGTGATCCTCTCTAGATTGCGAATAGGTCACATCAGACTAATCCATGTCTTTTAGCAGGCAACACAACAACCTTCCAACTTGTCCTCGATGAATTCGAAGTGGAGAACGCACCATTCTGACTGTAAAATATATTTTGGTCGATTGTCGCACTTTGCAACCCTTTAGGAAAAGGCTCAACCTTTCGAGGGATTTAATTGAGTTACTGGGTCCCCAGTGGTTCTTTCGAAGAGCACTTTTCAGATTTCTTAAGTCTATTGGAATTTATAATGAGATTTAGACCTTTTCCCAAATTCTTACACATTTGAATGTTTGTCTGCTAGTTTTGCTAGTTTTTGAGTGACAGTTTCTGCGTGGAGGATTTCTTTCTATTTCAGGAGTTTTTGAGGCTGCCAGATTTTTTTTTTGAGGTAGCTATCTTTTGGGCATTGCAGTTTATTACCCCGCAATTTGTATTTTTGTATTTTCTTCCATTTCTTTTTTCCGCTTCAGCCTCAAAAATTCCTGAAAAAAGAAAGAAATCTTGCACGCACAGCTTTCATTCAAACATTAGCAGGCAAACATTCAATGGTATAACAATTTGGGAAAAGGCCTAAATCTCATTATAAATTCCAATAAATTTGAGAAAGCTGAAAAGTGCTCTTCGNGATGATCTCAATAAAGATCGAAACGTTGGCACGATAAAGAAAATGTTTTTCTGAAACCTACATCACACCAGACCGCATCTCACGATTTCTGAATAATTAAAAAGTAAACATAAAAAGAAACATAATACCAATTAAATTAAAGTATACACATTTTTTCAAGTGTTTAAATTTAATTAACATGCACATGTAAACATATACATACAAATAATGTACAAAAAATCGTTTAGAGGTTAATTTCGTGCACGAGCATTTTTTCGATTTCACCAGGCTTCTATATAGAATTTAAATCAACTTATCCTGTGTTAACCGTTCAAGTGTTTTACAAATTCATAATTGCAATTTTTCAAGCCATCGAACTACTGTTTCCTTTAGAATGGGGAAAATGCCTATGAAATGGATTTCTAGTATTAAAATTACACATAGAAGACTTGGGTTTTTGTTGTTAAACATTGTAATTTAAATTTAAAGTATTTTAAATATTTTTTGCATGCTTGTCCTGCAGGTGTGCAGTGATTGTCATTTAAATCTATATTCAAATCTTTATACAGCACATTGAATAAAGATTGGAGCATAATATTTAATGGATTATTTTTATATTCTTATTTTATTGACAGAAGTAATTTTTCTATTGAAAAACCTTGCATTTCCACCCCATGCTTTGGGGGCAAATAGGGCCTTTATATCTTTACACCAAAATATAATTTTTAAATGATTTCATTGGTCTTAATTCTTGGTAAACGTGTTTCAGGTGGAGATAAGAAATTTTGAATGTAACTTAGGGGATGGCATAACGTTTTGGTCTTGAAAATTTACCCCTTTGGATAGTTCCCTTTATATTTCTTGGTTTCTAAATGACATTTAAACCAATTTACTATTTAATTTTTGTTTTTATTAGCTTTTGTGAGTAATGCTTTAAACACATTCGGATTAAATTACGGAAAAAATTATTAATTTTATTTCTAATGAAACATTAGATAATGAAAATTGTATTTTTCTCACAGCATAATAACAACTATTACAGCAAAGGTGATTAAAAAACTAAGACAATCCTTGCCTTTTAAAGCAATACAATAAAAATCTAAGAATTTCCTGTGAAGAAAACATAAAACGGGAATATTTTAACGTACATGAATGTTGTAAGTCAGGGTTTTTGCTTTTCTCATTTCCATTTGTTCCCTTTGCAAAATTAAATTAAATTATTTCAATTAATTAATGTTTTTTGGTTGAGATAGAAAAGTCAGTGTCACGAGCGGGATTCGAACCCACGACCTTCGGCTAGATACGCCGCTAATGTACCTCTTGAGCTATCGTGATCTGGATCCACTCGGAACCCAACTTCCCATCTCAACCCCGCCTTTTGAATTTTCCCTCGTTTTTGCCATTTTTCAAATGTCGAGTAATCTATTTGATTCTCGGAGACAAATGAAATGGCCACGCAGAGCTTTAGTGAAGATATACTTCGTTTAACTCATTAAATTCACTAGTTTTCGTGGGTTCGAATCCCGCTCGAGTCACTGAATTTTTTACCTCAACCAAAAAAACCTTAATTAGTTAAAAGATATTAATTGGTCACGCGGACCACGAAAACTAGTGAATTTACTAAATTAATTTTTTTCTTCGTTAAAGACAGTTTGTTCTTGTGCAGTGCCAAAATACGTACCTACCAATGTAGGTCATAACGAAAATCCGGTAAAAAAGTCTAGTTTGGATAATCGCCCTGATCTCATTTACCAGGTCAAAAAAATTTAAATGGGAACTGTTTTTAATAAACCAGTGAGTGCAAATATCTTTTATTAACTTTATAATTGGTGTTTTTAGTTCTCAGGCGATCGACCTTGGACTTAATTTTGATCATTTACCCATTTTGCAAAGTGATCGCTGTTGCAGAATACTGAGTAAAATCTCCTGTTCGTAGATAATCTGCGAATATATTAAAAGGCGATTATTAATCAAGATCAACCGTTAATGTCGAACTTCCGGCTTCTTAATTTTCTAAAAATAGTTCTAATTACAAAGCGATAAATATTATTGGAATGTATATATTGTATTTTTTAATACTGATTGTAGCCTTCGTTAAATAGATTCCAGGGAATATAATTAAAACGTAATTAATCGTCTAGAGTTACATGTTACTAGCATGAAAAGCCAGTTAGTATTTCATATTAGTCAGATCTTTTTCAGTCAGATTTTATAATAAAAATTAAATTTAGTAGATAAAAAGATAGATAAAGTCTTTATAGAAAGAAAGTAAAATTACAAATCCAATAAGTTCACACTATTGTTATCTTTTATAAAGACAAACTCAGTGGCGTAGGCGGTCTTGAGAAATCTAGAGTAACATATGCTATTGCACATTGACACATGTAAATTTTATGACTGTAATTTGTGAAAAACTCACTAAATAAAAGAAAATTAACACTAATAAATCAAGTTGAAGAGGATCGAAAGAAGGTCAACTGACAACTGTGTAATGCTTTAGTCCTGCCAAGCTTTCAATGTATATTACACCGTCATCAGGGTCTAAGTTTAACATATTTACATTTAACAAAATAAATAGAAAATTTACAATAATATTACTGTGAAAATCGTACTTATTCAACTATCTCTTATTTATACATTTAATGTCATCTACAGGACTAAAGGTTAATTTAAAAATTTTTATACAATAAATTATTTATAAATTTATATATAATTCGTTAGATTTCGTAGACCGATTGACAAATAACATCTTTCAATTAATTAATCTTTATGTAAGGTATTGGTTGAGATAAACAAGTCAGTGTCACGAGCGGGATTCGAACCCACGACCTTCGGCTAAATCCGCCGCTGCTCTACCACTTGAGCCATCGTGACTTCGATCCGCTCGGACACTAACTTCCCATCTCAACCTCACCTCTCGAATTTTCCATACTTTTTGCCATTTTTCAAATGTCGTGTAATCTATTTGATTCTCGGCGACAAATGAAATGGCCACGGAGAGCTTTAGTGAAGATATACTTCATTTAACTTTATTAAGTTCATTAGATTTGGTGGTCCGATTGACCAAATAACAACTTTCAATTAATTAATCTTTATGTAACGTATTGGTTGAGCTTAGAAATGAGACTATTTCATCAAAAGAATGATCTAACATCATTACATAAGGTTTGGCATACTGGAGAATTGAACAGGTTCTTGAAATAATCCCTCCATCATCAGGTTTAATGAATCCAAAACATATAGATATTTTTCTTATAAAAGAATTCACCAGCTCCCAAAATTCCTTGCTATTTCTAAAGTTGTCGATTTTATCTATTCTTCTATTTTTATACTCTAATTTTTTTCTTTTTACACACTTCTTTAAAGAGGCGGTCACTTTCTAAATACAATGACTTATCTTCTCCATTGTACTTTCTAAACTTATTAAGATATTTAAAACCGACTGTGCGAGCATTATCACATTCTTTAGAGTGTTTTTCTATTTTTGTTTGTAGTTCAAATACGTTTTTGCTTTTGAATTATGTGCTGCGGCTGTTTTGATAAGGCTAAAAATATGATCTACATTGAGATTATCGAAAATTGTGTTTTCGGTAACAAAGTTTAATTTATTTTGATGTTGTTTGGTATTAGATACAACGTTCCAAATTAACTTAGGGCGTAGGGGTAAAAGATCATATTTCTCTGTTTTAACAGTGCACAGACAGTATTAGTTGCAAATGGTCAGAAAAATTTAGTGAAACAACTTTAAAAATATTGATTACTCGGAAATCGTGAGATGCGGTCTGGTGTGATGTAGGTTTCAGAAAAACATTTTCTTTATCGTGCCAACGTTTCGATCTTTATTGAGATCATCTTCAGGGCCTGGGATTTACAAACATTGTTTAAATTTAACAAATACTGGTAGGATGTGGAAAAAAGTGAATTCATACAATGCAAAAAATATTTTTATGTTCAAACTATTTCTACTCACTCAAAGTGTTTGTTTTCTGCGTATGTTTTTCAGAAACCTACATCACGCCAGACCGCATCTCACGATTTCCGAATAATCGCCGACTAACGGTCACTAATCACCACACATTTAAAAATATTTGATGAAATTTATTTAATCCAAACCAACAACACGAGCTTAAATATGTAAATTTACCATAACGTTAATATACTTCACCTAAATTAAGTAAACAACTATTTGTGATCATAAAAAATGAGCTAGTTGAAACTATCATAACTTTTGCGATCTTATACTAATTAGTTAATTTTCCAAACAACATCAGTTTTCACCCAAACTGTAATTGCATCATCGCAAAAATTAAAATAAAATAAACTATTTTTATTTTTGGACGAATGTTTTGAGAGCCGGTGATTTCGGAATACTTTTTGTTGCATAATACGACTTTTCTTCTGCAGTAAAATGGCACCCAACATGGCGCCGACACCGGATAATTCGGAATGCACAGTGCAACCGTTGGATCCACTGCCGGAAAAGAAGCAGGAATACAAGGTGAACATAGTTTGGAGGAATGTCGCACTCTTTGCTTACCTACATTTAGCAGCTGTTTATGGACTTTATCTGATGTTATTTGAGGCAAAGTGGCTTACTGTTTTCTTCGGTATGACTCTAAGATATTTTCTTCATTTTACAATATATGATGGTTTACATAATATTTTCTTATTGTCAGTGTGTTTATATTCTTTACATTTTTTTCAGCCCTAGTTTTGTACAAGCTATCCGCGTTGGGTATCACAGCCGGAGCTCACAGGCTTTGGGCGCACAAATCCTACAAGGCGAAACTACCTTTGAAGGTGTTCTTGGTCGCTATCAACACATTGGCCTTTCAGGTAAATGAAAATTTTATTTTGCTATACATGCCATAAGCTTTATCTTCGGTTTGATGCAGAACCACGTGATCGAATGGGCGAGAGACCACAGGGTGCACCACAAGTTTTCCGAGACGGACGCAGATCCTCACAATGCCACGCGGGGGTTCTTTTTCTCTCACATCGGTTGGCTACTTTGCAGGAAACACCCGGAGCTGAAGGAAAAGGGCAAGCTAATCGACATATCCGATCTTGAAAACGATCCAGTCCTCGCATTCCAAAAAAAGTACAGTTTTAGTATTCTTTATAAAACTATTTTACGTTTGTTATTAAAAAAATGCTCACTAGTAATAGGACAAAGGGAGTATTTAAAAAGAGAAATCGTAAATCAATCGATTCGTTAACGTGAATTACCTAATTTGGAATTTTGGTTTTTGTTGAATTTTGACGCCGGTTTTCTAGCCTGTTGGGCTCTAGAGTTTTGGACTGTTAAATTTCAACCCCCCAAAGCATGCTTTTAATAAAAAAATTCTCAATCATACTCACGCTCTTTTAAATACATTACTTTCTACGTACATACTTTTAATTCAGGTGGGTTGGTATAGTATGGTGAAGAAGGATACTAGGAAGCGGGGTTTGCACTCTCCAGGCACTGCAGCCTTCTGGCTTATTGTACCTTCCAGTGCAATAGACTCCATCCTTCTTCTTAGCAGTATCAGGTCATTGACTGTCGCTGCTGCAATTTGATTCCCTAAGTTTTTTCCGTACGTTAGGTTAAATCTCCAATGAGCTGTTGCTTCGCATTCAAAGATGACATGAGTGGCTGTTACCTCCCCCTCATTACATAATCTGCAAATGGGATCATCGCTGAATATACCCATGTTGTGGAGATGTTTTCTCAGATGCCTCTCAGAGTTTGGCCCTCTCCAATTGCAGCAGTGCTTTTGCCAGTCTTGGTGAGGGTTGTTTCATCATAAGTTTACTATGTCTAGCACCGCTAGAGTTTATCCCCTTCTCCTTTTGTTTTGTTTGGATCCATTCTGCGATGGAGGATTCTGTATTTGTTCTTGTTATCCCAAGAATAGGTTCGAGGCCTAAGTATGGTCTTGCAGATCCTCCTCAGTCCAGTCTATCTGCTTTCTCGTTACCCAAAATTCCCCTGTGCCCTAGCACCCAAGATATCATCAGGTTGTTGAGTTTCCCCAGGTTTTGGAGATTTTGGATGCATTCACTGACTAATTTTGATGTTATTCTTTTACATGCTAATGCTTTAATGGCTACTTGGCTATCAGATCTTATGAGGATTTTTTTGTCAGTGTAACCTCTTTTAAGATTTTCCAGGGCACAAGCATTGATGACATGTATTTCTGCTTGAAAGACCGAAGTGTATTTCCCTAATGAGTTTGATTGCTCATGTTTTGGGCTTGTACAGAAAACGCCCGATCCGGTTCCTTCGTTTGTTTTAAAGCCATCTGTGTACCATATTGTATCATTGTATCTGATGCTCTCATGTGTTCTTCCTCTCCTATGTAGTCCGTTGAGACTTTATAGGAAGTTGTGAAGATTGTTTCCGGGATCATATAATCAGTCCCCATTTCTAATAATGGGTGTCTGATTTTGTTGATTATGCCCGAATTGTTTAGTTCCTTTCCAATTTAATTGTTTCTGGATCCTAAGTGAGCTTTTCCTAGCTTCTCCTTGTATGAATATTTCCAGTGGAGGTAGGTTTAGAAAAGTTTCTCATGCATTTGTAGGGGTTGTTCTCATTGCCCCTGTGACACATAGGTTTGCTAGTCTTTGTATGCTGTCTAATGTTTGGGTAGCTACTTTTTGTTGAGCTTTGTTCCACCAGATAAGCGATCCATATGTTATTCTGTGTCTTATTACTGCCGTGTATAGCCAATAGACCATTTTCGGTTTTAGTTCCCAAGATTTGCCCCTTCTTGTGGGGCAATAACCACTTGGGTTACTCATCTACACAAATCATAAATTAGTGAGGAGTCGATTAGGTACTCAGTTTCCCGACATCGGTTCTTTCACACCACAATAAACACAATCAATCTAAACATACAAAAGACATGCTTGATAAGGTATCCATATCCAGAAGAACAGATTTGTTTGCTCGAACACACCGAATCATTGGGTCACCTGTTTCGATTTTTGGAGAAAACGGGTTGTTTTGTATGCAATGGTACTTTTGTCTCTCTAGTGTGTGTTAGAGTACATGTGTACTGCGAGAGGTCTGATGGCGGGATATTGAGTACCTCATCGACCCTCAATTAAGTCACTTATATAATAGGTCCTATCCTAGGTCTAATCCCAGAATGCACCAGAGGTGGGTGATTCTCGAGACGTGCCGGTGATTTAGTGTAAATTACAAAAGCTGGAATTGCCGGTAAATGGCGAAAAGTGCCCAACTCTGTATAAGATCCACCCTTGAATTACGTTGGGCCATCGTCTGCATACCCGACGCATACACGGGCCATAAGTATCAATGTATCACAGTCTGGCCTATTCTATTATAAATTGTATAGTATTCATTATACATGTCATACCATATGTCATACTTCGGATTAAAGTAAGGTTTTCCTAGTTGGCAATGTTATTTCTTCGCGATATCTTATTTCTTTAATACCTATAAGCATAATTTCTTTTTGGTACTTCATGTTGGAAATAATTGGTAATAAAAATACCAAAAAACGACCTGACATAAAATCTATCGTTTCGCTGCTGGCTCGCTGCCGACGGGAACTCCGCCCAGCACTCAGCGAAGCGGTGTGTATAATTAAACAATAGGGCCTCGTACCAATAATATGTTAATTGACATTGATTTATTTATAAGGTAACAGGTGGCTCGTTTTATTTGTAATTTTTTTTAAAGTGTAAGTATGATAAATAGAAATAAATGGGCGATGATAGTTGGCAGTAGACATGCTTAACTTGATGACATTGAAATTAGTCGCGTAAAAATGTTGTTCCTTAATGCACTGATAGACAAAACAAACGCATCAATATTAACTTTTAATTAATTAATCTTTTTATGTAAGGTAAGGTGTTGGTTGAAATGAAAAAAGTTAGTGCGACGAGCGGGATTCGGACCCACGACCTTCGGCAGGTGGGTTCGAATCCCGCTCGTGACGCTAACTTTTTCATTTCAACCAATACCTTACCTTACATAAAAAGATTAATTAATTGAAAGAAGTTATTTGGTCAATCGGACCACCAAATATAATGGGGTTAAATTTGAATGTACTTAAGTCCATTCATATTTGGCATACGAAAAATAGGTATGGTTGTAAACATAAGGCATTTATAAACAATTTTATTACTTAATTATAAAAACACATTGAGTTAAGAACAAAAAATAGAAAATTCAAAAACAAAAAAAAATGTAACAAACTTTTTTTGATCCCTTTAATATCGTGTATTTCCATCTCCGCACGCATGCCGTCCGTTAAATGCCATTGCATTCATTAAAACATATTTGTGATAAATTCACTAGTTTTCGTGGTCTGCTTGACCAATTAATATCTTTCAATTAATTAGGGGTTTTAGTTGCGATAAAAAAGTCAGTGTCACGAGCGGGATTCGAACCCGCGATCTTTGGCTAGATACGCCGCTGCTCTACCACTTGAGCTATCGTGACCTCGATCCACTCGGACACTACTTCCCATCTCAACCCCACCTTTTGAATTTTCCCTCCCTTTTTGCCATTTCTCTTTTGACTTTTTATTAAAGCTGTCCGTGGCCATTTCATTAGTCGCCGAGAATCAAATTGATTACACGACATTTGAAAAATGGCAAAAAGGAGGGAAAATTCAAAAGGTGGGGTTGAGGTAGGAAGTTAGTGTCCGAGTGGATCGAAGTCACGATAGCTCAAGTGGTAGAGCAGTGGCGTATCTAGCCGAAGATCGTGGGTTCGAATCCCGCTCGTGACACTGACTTTTTTATCTCAACTAAAAAACTTTAATTAATTCGTGATAAATTATTTCTCATTCATCAAGAATAGCCGTTTCTAACTCTTCCAACGTCGTACTCGTCGCTTTAAAAAAATGTGTTTTATTTGGTTCAAATTTGGACTTCGAGCAGGCCCACCAAGCACTCAATCCCAACCTCATTCATGTCATGCACAATACGTGCTCTATGGGGTCTTGCATTATCCTTCATTAGGAAGAATCTGTCACCGATATGAAGGGCAGATCGCACTAGATGTTTTTCGATCTAAATAGCTCTGTGAAGTTCGAATTTAATGCGAGACCATCGTCTCACAACCAATTGGTGCGGTCGTTCAAGGAAATGCCCCCAGAACATCGCCATGGAATGTCATCCCAGGAACCAAACATTGGGTGTATCTTTCTCATAAGCGTCTCTGTATGAATTTATGCACATCTGAAGATTTGAGGCCAACTCTCACCTCATCTGTAAAGAGAACTCGTTCCCAATATTCCACTGTCCAATTCAAATGCGAATTGAATCCTGGCCATCATCTGAGTTGTCGTAAGAAGAGGTCCAGGAACCGGGTGCCTGGCCGTGAGGTTATTTTCTTTCAGTATTGGAGAAAATCGAAACATTTCGCACTTGTCTTATCAGATTTCCCGTTATGTTGCGGTTTTGTAGAGCCTGATGACGGATGAATATTTCATCTCACAGGTTTGTAGACCTAGGTCGACCCTGTCCTGGGGGTTGCGAAGCCCTGTTTTCTGAATCGCCTAAAAACTTTTTTGCTGGTTGTATCTGTCCTCAAATAATGTTATGACCCTGACCCTTTCATACTCACTCAAATACCTGACTAGACCAGTGGAAAAAGTTTAAGAACAAGAATCAATTCAATTCAAGTGAAATGAACGCGCGAAAAGGTTAACTAAAAAGCGATCGTTAAGCATAACAGAATGGAAGCTTTAATGCTACTTTTTGTGCAAATTGTATTAATCAGTACAAAAGAAACGAGGGAAATAAATCATTAATTACTTTTTATTGTGTCCATGGTAGCTCCTAATTACCTGTAACTAATGTAGAAAAGTAATAACTAAATAAATTGAGTGGTGCGTTAAATTTGTCCATGAGTGTATATTTTAAAGATTTAATCAAAAGAGAAAGTATTATCAGTATAGTGTCAATTACCTACACTTCTTTTTAAGCAAATATTTGCTAGAGAGAATGATTGACTTATAGGAATTTTGTCTTTATGCTTGAAAATTATTGTTCGGGAATGTTTCTGTTTAAGTTGCAAAAAAATTGGAAACCTAGTTAACTTATTTCTTGCAGTTTTACATCGAGTTTAAAATTTTTTCAATTTAGGTACTACCTGATTTTAATGCCGTTGACATGTTTCTTGTTCCCAACCCTGATGCCGATGTACATGTGGGGAGAGTCGTTGAAATGTTCCTGGTTCACGGCGACGATGTTCCGCTATGCTTTGACGCTGAACGTCACCTGGTTGGTCAACAGCGCAGCACATATGTGGGGCCAGAAGCCGTACGACGCGTAAGTACCCTGAGATCATTTTCCCCGTCCTTTGATAACACTGTTTCCCTTTAGGTCTATAAGCCCGGTGGAAAATTTGGCCGTGTCTCTCGGCGCTGCAGGCGAAGGCTGGCACAACTACCACCACGTTTTCCCATGGGACTATAAGGCGGCCGAGTTGGGCAACTACAGGGCGAATACGACGACGGCCCTCATCGACCTTATGGCGAAGATCGGCTGGGCTTACGATTTGAAAACCGTCCCTCCAGAGATCGTCGAAAAAAGGAGCCAGAGGACCGGAGACGGCACCAGGCCTCTGTGGGGATGGGGTGACAAAGACATGACACAGGAAGATGCAGAAGGAACCGTTCAACTTTTAAATACAAAGTGCAAATGAAATTCCTTGTAGCCACCACCAAAGGTAGTCTCGAATTTAGCCCATCGTATACCAATAAAAAAAAAAGAAATATCTCTTTTATAATTTATATAATTTTGTAAATTTAATTTTGATCTGCGTCGGAGGTTTTTTTGTTCGTTCCTGGAGTTATTTACAAAAATGTGTACATCTAGTCTATTAAGAAACATCCTCAACAAACTATCTATACGAACCGTTAGATATACTTTGCATCAGATTTTTATTTTTAAAGTTTGATTTATCTTTACTTTACAATATTACCAAAGCCTTTTGTTGCATTATTTTGTGAATTGTTTAGAAACCGTACACATTTGAAAAACCTAGGTTCTTCTGTTATTCTTAAGAATAAATTTTAATTTAATTTTGCGTTTGATTGTGTACAACAGCTTAAATCATATTTTTTGTAATAATAAATTGTAAACAAATTTCGTAATAATACTTATTAAATAGCGCATGGAAGCAATATTCTGTGTTTAGTATCTTCATGTTATATAATCATATTTATTTTGATGTTTATTAGACAGGTGTAATGTTTATTATTTCAAGATTTCGTTGCTTAATTTTAAAGCAGTTGGATTATGAATCTGTTATAATTGTTATTTCAGACACAATTTTTTGGTGTATCCTCTATGAAACTATCTAATGAACAAAACTAAAAAAAATGGTACATTGATTGTTATACGACCTACTATTTTAAATGCCTTAATTTTCTTAAGATAAGTGTGACACCATGGAAACTGTGTAAAACATTGTTTGGCCAATAAAAACAAATTATATACGTTATAGTAGAATTTTTATAACTCCTGGCCACCTGTTGGGATGTGACAATTGACCCTTCAACAATCAGCGGCAAAAAGTCATACGATGTCCAAAGTCTGCGAGATAATCTCCCCTTCGTTTTATTTGGCGAGCATGCATTGACCTCGCCACCGATCCTCTTCTCAGATGTCACAGATTTTCGAATTTACAATTGGAATTTGCCGATTACACGTTAGATCTGATTTTTTTTTTGACCACTAATGACTTGCCCTTTTGACTTTATATCTTTGGAGTTGTATGATTAAGGCGAAAAACAAATAATTTTTATTTCTGTCAGGATCTTCAATAACATTTCTATCGCAACAGCCTACCTTGTTTTTTAAAATAACACAAACATAATACTTCAAAATAACCAAAAGCAAAAACAAAAAAACAAAAGGAGATTGAAAATAACCTCAACACGAATCAAATGCGTGAGGAGGTAAAAAATTGATTTGATAATTTTGATCTTTTCAGTATTAATTTATCTCACTGAATCATATTCCAACATACCAAATGTTTAAATTTTTATAACAACATGCTGGCCGTTGAACTAGCGTTTTGACTTTTGACACTGGCAACTATGGATGCTGAAAAATTGCTGAAACATTTGATTTCGAGATATTACCACTTTATCGAATAATTAATCCAGGGCAAATATGCTGTCATCACATAGTGGCACGTCGAGGTATCGTCAGAGGAAAAAAAAATATCGCGATTTTCTTATCTAAAACAGATAATTTTTGTAAATTGTAATGTGTTTGAATATGCAAAGTAATATGACTAATAGATAAAACATAGTGTCGTCTTTAAGAAAGTCCTGTTTGAGCCTTTTAAAAATCCATTATCCTAGTTAAAGTTAATAAAATAAGTTTTACGACTTATTTATGCCAAAGTTTTAAAAACTTAATCAATCCAGCTGTTTTTTTACACCTTGACCTTAAGAATAAAATTATCAAATCACTTTATCATTTAAGATATCAAGGCAATTATTCATTCTTCATTAGGCCAAAAGGAAACTTTTAGGAAATGTATTATGAAATAATCAGTCATTGTACATTGCAATATAAATATTTTTCCATAAGACAAATATTATCAGTGAAAAATGTGTCTTTTTTTATAGGAATAATCCATCATCGTTCCACCGTTGTCAAATAAAGTTTATTGTTATTATACTGGCTTTTAAAACAGTATTTTTTTCACCTATATTGAAAATTGTTGTAAAAAAAACCACTGAATTATTTAACGGTCCGTTAATAACGAATGTATTAAGTTTAAATAAATTAAACGTCTTACATTTTAGTCATAGGTGTTTTCTCTTTTATCAGTTACTAAGAAAACAAATATTTTTTTAAATGATCTTTAACATTCTGAACATGCTTTGGCATTACAACAAACAACACAAATGTTTCTCAATTCACAAGATCGACTCGTGTTTAGACTGTTAAAATATTGCAAAATAATCTTAGGAAAAAAAAAGTTTTATAGAAAATAATTAGCCTCCATGCTGGCCCATTTAATTACCACTTCAAAAATTGGAAAAATATATGATAATGATGATTTTGGAGAATTCGTTTTGTCTCGTTTCGCTCTATTTTCTCCGTTACATTATAACATATGACAGAAATACGACCCAGATTATGGCTCATTCATCTGATCCACTAAAGATCAGCGTAAACAACCTATCCAAATATTAGGCAGCACATAAAGACTGGCAAAATTTTGTATCACAGTAGCAATGAAAACAACGCCGTCAATTTCACTAGAAACTCCGCTAAACCTAAACATTTGTACAAGGAGAAGCAAGCAAAAGCTCTTTTAGGTTTTAGAAACAAACAAACTGAATGGGAACTAAACACTTTGGGTACGCAACAATAATCAATAAAATTGGGTATCCGTTCATGGAAATGGCGACTGACTACATGATCTCGGAAACTCTTTACAGCTATAATTCTATCTATAGACTACACAGTGACTTCAGAATGAAGCTACAATGATATGGTGTACAGATGGTCCCAAAACACAGATCATACGTATTTTGTACAAGCCCAAAACATAAGCCATCAAACTCAATGGGGAAAAATCAAGTACACTTCGGTCATTCATTATGTCTTATACTTGTGCTTTGGAAAATTTTGAAAGGGGTTACAATGGCAAAAAATCCTCATAAGATTGGATAGCCAAGCAACTATTAACATGTAAAACAATCACATCAACATAATCAATGTATGCATCCAAAATCTGCAAAACCAGGATCAAAACAACCAAAAATACAAAGCCAAAGGGTTTTGCGTAACAAATAAGCAGGCACATTAGCCATTCGAGGATCTGCAAAATTAAAAGTAGCGCTGCAACTATTCTTGGGATAAAAAACAAACGCAGAATCCTCCATGACAGAATGGATCCAAAAAATAAAAAAGGAGGCGTGGATAAACTCTAAAGGTGCAGATACAGTAAGCTTGTGGTAAAACATCCCTTACCAAGACTGGCATACTCATTACTACAGGTAGAGAAGACTAAACTCAAAAGAGCGATAAGACTATGTCCCGGTCACTGACATCCGAGAAAACATCTACAGAACATTGGCCGATTCAACGATGACCCACATTTATAGGTTAACCAAAGTGGAGAAAGAAACATCCATCCACACCATCTTCGAATGTAAAGCAACCGCTCAACGGAGACATAACCTGGCATACGAGGAAACCCAGGCAAAGGAATAAAGAATTAATTATAAACTCACTGCTAAAATTAGAGAAAAGACAAGGAATTGTAGTTACTTTAGCCAACGATCTAGAATCCTTAAAAGAAGGATCGAATCGCCAGATTGAATTAAGGAATTAGGAAAGTACAAGCCCGAAGGCTGCAGTGCTCGGTAACCTAAAACCTCACTTCCTAGTCTCTTTTCATCATCATCGTCATCATCCGTTACACAGAAAAATATTGTATCATGGTAACCTAACCAGTCCAAATCCTCATCCTACCTAACCTAACACGTCTCTAATACCATCTAACCTTAACACTACCTAATCCAACCCATGACCACTCCTCGGTCACGCAAAAATTTGAGTGGAAAGGCTACGTTGCCAGAATATCTGGCGGTAATGACAACCGAGGTTTTCCCAAGAAGCAAGGTGTACTCACCAATGGGAGAGTACGTTTACTTCTGTCTAAAGGACATTCCTGCTATAGACCAAGGAGACAAGGTGAAAGGAAAAGGAAATCTGTCCGAGGGTGTATTGTGGATGCAAATCTCAGTGTTCTTGCTCTAGTTATTGTTAAAAAAGGAGAGCAGGATATTCCGGGGTTGACAGATGTCCATGTTCCTCGTCGTCTAGGATAACTAAAAAAAAATTTACAAAAATGTTCTGTGTCCAAAAACATTTCCATGCTAAAGCTGCCTATTCTACCATGAAAGAGCATTGATACCGTACCATGCTCGATGTGACTGCAAAGCATCAGCTTCGGAAAAGGAGCCATTAATGCCTAAAGAAATATTAGCGAAGACCAAGCCCAGAAAGTGTCCAACTGCATTGAAGGTAGTGTACGTTCTGTATGTAACTAAAACAGGGTCAAGAAAGGGTTTTTGGGTCGCAGTGGAAGAAAGGAAGGCCATAATCACTAATGACTCCTGGGGGGAAAACGGTGTGTTTCCAAAAAAAAAAAGACATTGAAGTCTATTGAATACTTATTACAAACATGCTTTGTGAGTGATGCAAATATTGATATAAAACAATTAATCAAGGTTTTTAGTTGAGATAAAAAAGTCAATGGCTCGAGCGGGATTCGAACCCACGATCTTCGGCTTGATACGCCGCTGCTCTACCACTTGAGCTGTCGTGACCTCGATCCACTCGGACATCAACTTCCCATCTCAACCGCACCTTTTGAATTTTCCCTCCTTTTTGCCATTTTTCCATTCCCATTTGGCCATTTTTATCTTAAATAAAAACCTTGATTAATTGTAATATATTAATTGGTCAAGCGGACCACGAAATTAGTGAATTTATTGATATAAAGTTGTTTCGTCTATTTATTAGAAAGTAATTAATCATATCCTATTCGATCAAACATCGTGTTCAGAATTTAACTTTAATACCTCTATAGAGTGGTTTATTTTTTAAGAACTCAAGCCCATAAAAAAAAGTTTATTACCAATACCAAGATAAATGATTTCTCTTGCAGATATGCCATATTAAGGCAAACGAGGCCAAACAGAGGTTTTAGGTCATTGCTCATTAGCAATTAGCTTCATTATCATGTATAAATTTTGATTTTATGCTATTCATTTATTTTTAAACGATTAATCCTCGCACCTTTGAGCACCTGTTGCATAACAGGGTTTCATTCCTTCTCAGAAAATTTTGAATCTACCCCTGAATTTACGTTTGGTTTTAACCATTCATATGATTTGATAATGACGAAGGAGAAAAAGTGTCGAATAGTTATTATATAAGTATTTTAAGTGATATCTTGACTGCGATAGATCGATGACTGGATTGGTCAGGTTGACAAATAAATTAGGAACAATCATCTTTTAAACGTGATGGAAAAGCGTATAAAGACAACTGAGTATTGTAGTATGAACCGTTTTAATTGAGTTCGCAATGGTTAAATTTCAACAATTTTGAACTTTTCCTTTTTGCCTTTAAGAACGTTTACTAGGGTTGCGAAATATTTACTCCTTCGTGATACTCGATGATTTCTTCAATAAAAAACAATCTACTTGTGCAGTTTTTTAGTACACAGTACTTTGCTCCCCAGTGTAGGAATTTCGGTTACACCACGTACATGCCCGGATAATCGTCTCCTTGACCACTGAACCGAATGAAACGAATCTTTAACGGCAATTGCTCCTTAGGTCACTGATATCAATCCAGTAAAAAATGAAGATAAGATTTTTTTTTTATTTATTTAGAACATCGCGAAATAAAATTCAGTTTTCCGAAATGAAAGAAAATACTTCACGTAACTGTCTTTGTTCC